CCATTGATGTCAAAGCCTGCTAAATTTGGAGATGAGGTTTTATTTTAAAAACGCAAAATCAAACAAATGATAAAAGAGTTGTTTCGCAACTCCTCAAACTCAAACTCCTCGCAACTCCTTAAACTCATTTACATATTGAGGTACTCTTAAAAAGATTTGCTTGAATAAAATTTTCTTCGCCTCGTGATCATCGGTTGCCTAGAACGTTTTACAAAATAATTCCTCGTTAAATATATTTTGAACTTGGATGATCTTTGCAATGATATATAACAATCATTTCTGAAACACCTGCGCTGAATTTATGAGTTTCAAGAAGTGATGTATATGTTTTTATTATATCACTATCTATCTAGCTAGCGACAGTATGATTGGTCAAAGCCGGGTCACATGTCGTGGGATATCTGGCGATATTCAATGGCAATGCTAATCAGATAAGACAACCGTGAGATATCTAGCGATATCCCACGCTCCCGGGAATTTTCAAAGAATTTGTTTTCGTTCAGTGTAAATAATTTACTTCAGTTTAAGTCAAAATGGCAGACGAACCGAGTAGATTCGTAAAAATATCTGAAGCCTTAATGACTTAATAATATTAGGGATGTTTAGCTAGACAGTGATATAATAAAACAAATATTTCACTCTATTTTCGGTGAATACCTGTAGCACTTTCACAAGGTGATATTCCACTTGCCCTTCGGGCTTCGTGGAATATCACTTGTGAAAGATGTACAGGTATTCACCTCAATAGAGTGAAATTTTTGTTCAATATTCCATTCTGTAGTTCTTCGCAAGAGTCGAGTCAAGCTCGATGACATTGCCGAGCATAAGGTAACAATTCTAGAGTCAATTGTCCGGGTAAGAAAATAATCCATTCACCCTATCCATCCATTATCTCATTATAACAACTTGATAATCCTAAATGTAGTAATTGAGTAATGCAGGGCAGACACGCATCATCTCCAACCGGAGGCAAATGATTGATGGGATAAGTACACTCCCCTGCGTACGTTTGGCAACTGGGAGGTTTTATTGAATTGGAAACTAAAGACTGTTAATATTTTAATCTTAATTTGGTGGCTTATTAAAATTGTTCGGAAATTGATGACTGATGATTTTAAATCACCGGACATTAACAGGCTGTGATTCGTGATCGAGAAGTGGATATCCGTTTGCCGAACTCATGAGGGGCAGTGTAAGTCCTGTTTAAAGTTAAAGGTTAGCCATATCCTCTTAAATCTACGAGGGGTAGACAAAATTGAAAACAATATGAACAATGGGCTTCCCAAACCAATGACCCAATCGTATGAGTAAGAGGTTTTCTAAAATTGAAACAATTTTTTCCTCGCTAGATCTTATTCTCTAATAACGTAGAAATTATGTTTAATCTAGACCCTTCAGGACATTTTTGCATATTTCATTCAGTTATAGAATCAATTATTACATTTTAACACTCTTCAATCCCATTTTCAGTATTACAAGATAATTCGTACAGTTCAAGTTATAATGTATAAAATCATAAATACCTGGAATGCCTATAGGCAATGAGAGTAGATAATATTATATACCCGAGAAATAAAGGAAATGAAACACTGATGATAAAATCAAATGAAATATAAAATAGATCAAGGCACATTGCATTCATTTGAATCATTTTTATTATTCTCTTTAAGCTATATTAGAGTGTTTTAATATTATAATGTGGCGTTATGATTCAATACAAGTCACACAAAGATCTAATCCTGTTAAAACGTATCTATTTATTAATTATTTCGACATTTTAGATCAAAGGCGCAATTTCCGAAATAATACAATTATTGAAACAAAATTATGTATGCTTTGATTAATACTTAAAAGGTGGATCACTAGACTTATTGAGGGGATTGTACACTCCCTTTCATCGGTTTGGCAATTTGAACACCAATTTTGGTTAACTTACGAAAGGCCGTTTAAGTTTAGCGTTTAAAACACATCATAAAAAGTCAAGTTATACATTGCTGAAAAAGTCAAGTCATACATTGCTGAACTTTTGTCGTTAAAGGGCACATTAAGATTTAGACCTTGACAGGCTTTGACACGTTATCCAATACTTCTGATTTCAAAACTTATTGAGGGGGTGTATCTACAGCTTATAGAGTGAATCTACTTTCTACGCAGATAGCTTTTTATCAGGTGACATTTCTAGACAGATCTCTAGACATATCTAAACTTAGCCTACAGATTAGTTCTTTTAATAAAACGATACAAAATGTCAGGTTTCACAGGAATATTTCAAATGCATGTTTAGCATAAAGATTTGTAGCAAAATAAGCGGTTGGGGATACATTATTTTTGTTTTCACAAAAAGAGGAGAAAATACGACAATATTTAGTTTTTTTACATAATTACCTTTTTTGCGCATCACCGTCGTTTGTAACATTTTTTACTAACTACTATCTGAAGAGAAAACGTCGTCGATTTGAGGATTTAATCGATAGTAAACGGTGTATTTCCGTAACTAATTAAAGTGATGTGGGATAACTTTCTCATTTTAGAAAAATCATTTTGCATCATCAATTTAATAAAATATATTTCATACTTGCCGCTACGACACTGAACGGTCATCATCATTTATATTCCATGAAAAGATTCAAACAGGAACTTTACCATAACCGCCACACGGAATACTGAATTTAATATTTTTAAGTATGTTAAGCATTCACTATAGAAATGGTGCTAAACGTTTTATTTCTTTGCTTTGTCTTAAATAAGAAAGTATATAGCTAGCAACGTGTATCTATTTCGTCGTTGCTAGGCGACTATAGCTTTTTATATGTCATAGTTCTTTCTTATCGCCCTGGTAATATCACATGAATAAATGTGTGTTTAAAGTGTTAATTGTTACACATTTCCGTTAACCTCGGCCCTATTTAACGTCCATCAATTTGAACTAAATATATGTCACATACGTTATTGCTCCAGCCGTGTAATTACCAGAGGAATTTTTCATTGACAATTTTTCTAATCAAATTGTCTGATGATCGATATATATTTCAGCGACATCAAATACAATCAGAATTATATCCGACGGCTTCATCTATATTTATCCATGTGCTAACGTTTATGATGATAATGTTTCCGAGTTTACTTTTCATGTTACAAAAGGTATTTTCTTTCTTTTGGACATCCGCATCGATCTGTCATTCTTGTAAGAGTTGAATATTGTTTCCATTTTGTCTGTTCAACTTGAATGCTGATTGAGACCCCCCCCCCCCCCATCAAGCAAAGCGCAGGACCAAGAATACTAGTCTGGCAAAAGAGAAATTCTATTTTAGGCCTAGTAATACTTAGATAGTCAAAGTTTCATCCTTAAAAGTATGTATAATCACTTTCTCCTGCAGTATACTTTCTACACGTTACTATATTACACTACATTATTCTTCATTGCACTACATTGAACAACACTACACTACAAGTTTTGCGATTCACAAACTTCACAAACTTTGCGATTTAGAGATATCACGTTTTCTGTGGAGGTATGCTCTCGACGAAATTGTCAAAAAATGTTGAAAATACAATCTTCTGAAATTGGGATTTCTGTCTTAGCCATTATTTGAATGTTTTTGTCAAAGTTGATGAACTGGGTCGCTTATTCGGGAAATTAAAAAAAAGTCAGGCTTTCTAATTAGCATTTTTCATTTAATTTTGTGTTAGAGCATGCCTCCGCAGAAAATGAGATATCTTCCAATTCCCAAGTTGTTGATGCTATACAAGCATATCAATCTTTCTTCCATTGAACATTCTATCATGAAAAATCATGACGATTCCTAATTTCTTGAGAAACGTATTCCAAAATTAGTGCATGACATTTTTGTGTCACTCTGTATGACATCATTAGTGAATGCATGAGTGCATGTATGTATCTCATATATATTTTTATTATAACACATAAAATAATGTTAGGGGGAATATATGTCATGTACCTTTTTTGCAAGTTTTGAATTTCAAAGTGGCGGTTTATATTTAAAGGCATGTAGATTAGAATGAGATTATTTTATTTGGATCGTTAACATTTTATTTGTTACATTTAGCAACAGATATGCCAACGTTTGATTTTGAATAGATTGTCAGTTTCCAATTTAATTCTCTGAAAACGTCATTCCTATCTCATAACAGTTCTGCTTTCATTTGAATCTATATTAGTTATTATAAAGAGGTTGGTAGAAATACAGTTTCCGGTATTAGTTCTGTTAAGAAGAACATCTGTAATGCTGTCACATTTCGGTGTTAAAGATCTTTACCGACACAGATAGATTTCTCATCACTGTTATACCTATATTAAAAAACGTAGGATATATGTATTAAATCACAAGGCTACCCAGGGGTATCGTCACAGCGGCAGAAAGAAAAGTAAATCAGATCGCAAAAATATAGGTCTTTGATGATTAAAACTTACCTTTTTCAAGCTGTGCTATTTTCCAATCTCTCATTTATGAAATACCAATTTCCTAACTCTCACAGCATCGTTCATTCCAGGTTCTTGGTAATACAATTGTGTATATGGTGGTATAATATGTACCTCGTACACAAAAACGTTTGTTCAAGCACGCCGTATTTGATCATGATGTTCGCAAATATACCGGAACAATTTTAAAACCCTATGCAATGTTCTTAATAGTTAATATCAATTTTTATTATTCAATTCAGATATGCCATATTTGATGTTCGCAAATATACCGGAACAATCCCAAATCTGTTATAATGTTCTTATAGGTCCATTTCTGTGATTGAAAACGTTTTGAAGTATCCCACGAGACGCTATGTCAATTTACCGACTTATATTGCCCGACTAACATACTTTTGAAGGGTCGGGAATAGCGCAAAATTACAATTAAACCGTCCTACGATTAATACTACAGAAAAACACTTCACATAAGTATGGAAGCATGAAAAATAAATTCATCATTGTTATGGTCATAAATATTTGTTTTTAATTTCCAACTGATTTAATATATCATCCTTACCTTCATAAAGGCCTTATCATGGTCAGATGCTGTTTTGTAATACTCCCTAGTGTAATTTGCCAACAATAGCGTTTTTCATTAGGTGTCTTTCTGATGAGTAATGTACACAATGAAAAACGATTGAAACGTCGATTAAACTATAACAGTCAATGATTTCTCAACGATTGTTTCCTGGATGTGTCTATGTTTAAATTATGAGCGCTTCTTTTTTAGTTTGAATTGTTTCACGAAGTCCTTGTTTTTCGTTTTTGATATACCGTGACTTATTTTTGATAAAGTCACACCCAGCTAGGTTCAGAGCCAGAGTTAAGACTACGGAGATTATCATGGAAGAACATGTCGAAATTATTAATTAGTCCATTGACAGATTTTTACCTGTATTGCAATTACAGTCTCAAATCTGTTTGCTTACGTTTTAAAATATTAATTTCGCTAGAGAGACTATTTGTTCTGCTGCCGGCCGTTGCTTCGATGTTCGCTGGTAACGAAGAGCTGGTTTCGAGAGTAAGCAAGGCTTTACATAAATCTGTCCCTGGGATTTACAACGTGCAAATGTTCTTATCTAAGAGTGCTTTTAACTTGTTTCAGATAGCGAATGATTGGGAAATCACTCCATTCTAATTCACCGGCATCCGCGCCACACATAAGGTTTGCGATTTAAGCCAGAACCAACAATTAGAACCGAGAAATTACTTAATGGATATTTACCAATGTTTGGCCTTGGCTACATCATCTTTAAAATGAGAAATATTTATCTTAACTTTTTCCCCCGTGGCAATTTGTCATAGATGTTTTGGGTATAACTATCAAAATAGTTGCCCAATCGATACTGAACACTTTTATGATGGCATGTTTGTTGAAGATGAATAACAATTTCGTGATATGTACAGGGTGACCTTAAAAACGCAACCTTTCAAATGTGTAGTACTTTCATTGACATTAACCAATGCGACCAATCTCAGTGTTAAAGCGAATTATCTGATCGAATTTATATATGGGTGAAAACCCGTTAGTCTTCATAATTCCAAAATGGAACCCAAAGAATGCAACACTTAAATACAAAGATGACAAGTCTTCAGGGAGCAGGGCATGGTGCAGCAAATGGTGCAGCAAAACCAAGAGCATTTAATGGCATAGGCTTCAAAGTTGAATGTAATGTAACGAATGTCATATTGCCAAAATAGAATAGATACTAAAAATAGATGTTTCTGTATTTGACAGCCCAGAATTTAAAAGGAATAATTGCCCTTTTGGGCAGTCCCGTTTTTTGATTCGCCCTTTACATTTTCCTTGAATGTTCGTAGAATTGAATTTTTATCGGATGATTCATGTACATCTACATGGGCGTTTTGATGTGCAGACAGAATAGCTATATATTGTTCATGTTATCGAGAGCTTTCGTTATAGCCTTTTTTCATTATCAATTTTAAATATGTGTCATGGTTCGTTTTTTGTTGACTCGCATGCCCAAATCTCTTGAGTTTTAGACAATTTTTTTCTTCAAGAAATCCTAAGCATTATTCCTTGCACCAACGGAATTGCATTTGTATTTGATTACACTTAGAACGGAAAGCAATTCAGTAATTTATCAATTGTATAATTATTTGATATCGTGTCTTCGTTCTTCTTTGTTCAACATTGACTCAGACCTTTGATCTGTAATAAAACTACAGAGCTAATGATACCTACTTATTATTCCAATCGAATGGGCTGTGTGATAGCATTTCTCTTATTTATTATAATATTAATTCATTATTTTTCTTAAATACACTTTACATTTTATGAGCATTACACTTGTAAGTTTACATATGACCTGATGAACATTTTCAAAAAGTAATTTCAAAAAGTTTTCTAGAACTATTGCTATCCCCGATTCATTGATGGTTTTTATTTACATGATTCAAAAGTTTTTTAATTCAATCTCTATGGTTTTGACCATTTTTCTTCAACTGATGAAATGCTTACTCTATTGATATATACTCTAAAGAATAACGAATGTCTGAGAACTCCAGTTACAAACCTGTATTAATTCATTAAGTTCTCAAATTATATAATACTTCATCCTCGCTTCCGCTTCATCTTATTTGACCTTGACTGAAGATATCGCGTTCTTTTAATCTTTATTTGACCTTGACTGAAAATATCGCGTTCTCCTAATCTCCGTTTGACCTTGACTGAAACCTAGTAATTACATCGGATGAGAAACTAACTTATATCTCACCTTTTCGCTTGATCAATATTTTTATCGGAGAAAATGAGACAGCATGATCTTCTATAAAATCACCGTGCTATTAATCCAGGCTTATTATTCCGAGCGAACGTGTTTAAAGACAGTTCTTAATGGATGTAATGTAATTGTATTGTTCCATTTTAAAATTACACCGTATCTATAAGGCTAGGTGTCAGTTTGAAAGATACAAAAGTGCAATTTCACTGTCAAATGCACAATGTTGCAAAAATATAATGTAGGAGAAATATCGAGGTCACTTTAAGACCCGTCAAGAAATTATTCTGCTAATTAATAAACAAAAATATTATTTTAACAGAACAAAATATATATTTACAATACTTATACTCAGATGAGAGTAGGTAGTTACCAGTTTCGCCCCCAGGTGGCTGATTCGGGGGAAATAACAAGGCAGTGTATTACAAAATTCCCTTTAACTTGAATATTCATCAGTTTTAGTGGTTCACTTTTCATATTACCCTTATGTCCCTGATAGTTATACAAATTATAATATGTCCAGTAAAAGAAAATATTATCTGCCCAATAAAACACTAGAAAATATATTTCACTTTTAGTGAATTTACAACATGGAGTCTATGGGGAATCTTTCCGACCTAAAAGTCACATTTTTTAAAGAAAATTAAATTTTCATAGTTGATAAACTCTTTTCAAAACCACATTTCTAGATTTAATTTTACATGCTGATTCCAAATATGACATCAGTTTGACTGAATTTTGATTTTTAATGACCTAAATGAAGATTATTTCTACTCGCATCTTGGATATTGTACTGTACAAAAATAACAAATTTTCTTCTGTTAAAAGAATTGTTCAAAATAAGGCAAATTGTTGGAAAATGTGTTTCATAATATTCAACATACTTATATTCTATTAATAAATGTAGCAAAGGAAATCCAAATCAACACCTTTTAGCAATGTGCGCTAATTAAGCTACAAAGTACCATCGATTTTGCAAAATAGCTTTTATTGCATTTTCACTTAGAGCAACCTTTGTGAACATGGGACTTGAGGACTTGAGGAAAGCGACAACAATTAAGATTGATTTTAGTGAAAAAAGGATTTCTGTTAAAAATACATTTCAATTAAAGCCTTGATCACATTTCCTCTACGGCGGGCGTGTGGTGACCGTAGCTTCGCAAAATATAGAAAATCGACACCTACTGGTTATCCCTATATTTTATGCTGCATATAATTTCTCTTGATTTTGGAAGGCTACGGCCGCCGTACGGTTACCGTAGATTAGATGTGAGCGAGGCATTAAGATTGAGCTTTCTGCTGCTGTGTAATTGTGCAAGATAAGTCAGTATGGTCACCGTGTAGATAAGTAATTTATAAAAAACATCATGGTAGTCTGACGGCATTCATGTATCATTTCTTAACACTATTGATGGTAACTTCCGTGTTGTGATTGATTGCCTTGATATCTTAAGGGACTCAACAAAAGAGACGAGAACCCGGTGACCTGTACCTTTTATTAAGTTTATTTTCGCTAACTGTCTTTTGTAATCGTATTTCCAAGTCTGGGTTTCAAGCGTACGAAGGATATTTACAAGATAAGTCAATTATGTGTTTCATCCCCGTCGTGAACCGTTGGTGTATACGGGCTACGGGGTGTTCGCTTGGCCGTCCCTTTGTCCGTTCGTTCGTCTATATATTCCTCTTTTCTACAGTCAGAATTTTAACATGTGCAAAAATGGACATTGTAGTGATGTAAATGCAAAGTAGGCTATGGACCAAATTTCACAAATTGTAAAAGTACACTCCATTTTATAAGTTTAGAAACCAGTAATTGTCATTGAATAGCATATCAAAGTCTCAATGTCTAAATCTTAATTCCGTCCCTTTATTACAAAAGTTCTAAATTGTATAACACATCGTGAAACCGCCGAATTAGCTTAAGGGATTCAAAAGGGGGATTCAGGATTACAAACTTTTTGAGGGATGGGGGAAGGGGGGGGGTCTTATCGGAATAATTAAAATGCATTAAAAGTGTATCTGATTCTATATATCAATGCTAATTCGACAGAAAATAGATAGAAAACGATAATTTATACAAGATGATCCGTGATACGATATTCGAATCAAACAGGCCGAATATTGCAATATTTCGATATAAAGTAGAATCCATGTTATGCAATATGTTCGTATTTTTAGTTTATCCTTAAGCTTTTGTTGTTTGAATTCATGTTGAGATTACGATTCACCAAACACACTTTTGGAAAGGCATAGGTGTAAGAATGTTATACTTAGTAACAAATATGTTCGAAAACTGATTTTCTTATCGAAGATAGACCAATGACATGGATGTTTCTATTTGTGCCTGACATTGACCTTAAGTCTTTAATAATATACTACATAGATTAACGCAATCGCTTTAACATCTCCTAAATTTGGTTATTTATGGGAAAATGTTGCGTTTGACTGCTTAATTTTTCCGATAAGGGAAGGTAGTAACACTTGAAAGAGGCTATACTTCAGGTACCTTTCTTCCGGAGTCAATGGGATTACCACATACAGAATGTTCGCTACTTTACTTATGCCAAAGATTGCTTCAATGGCGTTGAAAGAAGAGAAATATGGCTTGTAGCATTTCTTGCTTTTTCTGCTGCACTTTGCTATTCGTTAGTACAATCTATGCATTTATTCATTAATCTTTACACGTTGAGGTGTTGGTAAATGTTCTTATTTGAGCTTAAAACAATCACCTCGTAACTAATCAAACGCTACAAATAGTCTTGTCGATTCCGTGATGGCTTTTTCAGCCTGTAATAGATTGGACGCATACATCAAAATACTTATCGACTCAAGTCTAGAAGTGAATCCAAACGGACAATAGAGGATTGTGAA